ACAAACATATGATTCATTAACCCTACATTTCTATATAATTTAGCTTTTAATTGATCTTTTAATTTACTAATTCTAATACGCTTTCACTGTTGCACTTTATGAATAGAAATGTTCCTTTTCACTGCTCAGCTGCTGCTTTTTCACTGTCTGAAAGCTGTATAAACGAAATTTCGTTTTTTTATACACTCTGTGACTATTAAGTAAAGTAAGTGCAAAATTATTTGTATTACCAGATATAAAAAATCAGTCTTTGTTTATTTAATCTATTTAAAAATGGATGTATACATGGTATTTCATTAAGGTAGAAAAGTTTCTCAAATTAACAACTTTTTCAATAATATTCTATTAATAATATGACTATATCTGTACAGTGCTTTAAAATGTTTCGGCTCGTTAAAAGATTTCTTTCCTTTAATTTTTTTAGTTTTACTTAGATGTTTCATTAATATTATTCCATATTATTATTATTTAGAACGTTTATGCTAGGGTTTACCACCACAGTGACAGCCACTATAGAAAAACTGTGAGAAAAACTTGAAACTGTACAAAACCTTCCCAGGAGTTACAAATGGGAGGTCCAGCTATGCTAAGAGAGCCAGACTGAACGACTAAACTCACTAAAAAGAGAATGCTCTTTTGGCTCCAAAATGGCTCAGATTCAAGTACCACAAGGGATGCGGTTGGGATGGGTTTTGTGTGGAAATTTGCTTTATCTTCTACAGTTTAAATTTTAATAGCAAAGCATCATGCCTTAATCAGTTCCTTAATTAAAATCCAAACTGCATACAATTATATCTGTTCAAGTCTATATAAAGAAAAGTATCTGATGCTTCTCAGGATTTAATGATAATAAACTAGGTAAAGCACATGGAACTACAGTCTAGTTTAGAGGAATAGTTTACTCTTAGTTTCATGCCTGTTGAGTTTGTGAGATCTTTTTGAAAAATATGCTTTTTGTCATGTTTTAAAATAATTTTCATCTCTCAAAATAGATCTGCTCTCTCCTTATTTCTTATGCTGGTGAAGATTGTCATCCAGGTTATAGTCATTCCAAAAATTTGAAATGGCAGAACACAATTTAATCACCAGCTACGATCAAACATATTTCAGCAGTTCACGAATGGCTTATATTCTTATCATAGGCCTGACATGGTGCTTCATACATTAAATGGAGTTTAAATGTTGCAGCAAGAGCGAATAACAACATTGCTTAATCTAACTTTGCACCGTGCAGATGCTCTGTGTGCACCAATGAAGATGTATTCACCACAACCTGTATGTTGTATCTGATTGTTGCCTGATATCTCTTAATAATTCAGCAAATAGAGGATTTAAATCTATTATTTATGGGGAAAAAGAGAAGGTGATATCGGAGCAAATTCTATGTCCCAGTAAAAACACAGACTATGGCAGAACAAAACCAACACAAATACCAGCTACACTTTACAGAACATTTAACTTTTACTTGTCTAATTAATGCACAAACCTTCTTTATTTCTTCATAGTCATAACTATAAATAGATATTATATATGATAGATATAGATATGCTCTCCAGAATGTAAGACATATGTAATGAAACAAGCTGAATAGGAAACATTCTGACTACCCAACTATAAATAAGCTTTTTTCCCCACACCAGATTTATTTTATTTTAAAACACAGTGAAATATATAATATTTCACTGTGTAAAAATAAATATATAAGTTATTAAAGTCTTTGACATTTTTTTCTGTGTCAACCCATCAATAGGTATGCTATGTATTTGTGCAAGGGTTTTTTGCTTTATCTTACTGAACTTGCTCACTGTTGGTGCATTTATTTAAGATGCTCCTACGCTGCAGCAGTGGTATCATGAAATTAGAGCTCTGTTTTCCCCAGTATAGATTCAATTTGCTGGCAAACTACAGAGACAACTTCCTGCATTGCAGTAATAATAATAAAAAAAAATCCTCTATATGTTGCTCTATGTAATACTTCATAGTCAGTCATTTTACCCAAATACGATTACTGGTCTCCTCGGCCCTAAAGCTGGAAAAAAAATGGATTCAGCAAATGTCGTCAACATATTTTTAGACTCTGGCATTAGCTTTCATTTTTTCACCTTTTGTATCGAGCCATGGAGGCCACTTTATTAGGTACCTGTTTGACTTTGCATGGTTAAGAGCAAATCAGCGAATTAGGCACACAAAACGTAATGCATTTAGACAACGCTTAATTTATAAAAAGTTTCTAAATGAGAAAAAACGACCTAACATGGTATTTGGTATTGACATAAGGAGATTTTCATTTGAAAGCTAATTAATTCTGTGAAAAAATGGTAAAAACCAGCAGTTACTTGGACAAAAATGTCTTGATGTCAAAGGAAATTATGCACACTGGTTTAACAATAAAGAAAAGCAATGACAGCTTCAAAGATTTGTTTTAATACTAAGAAATGCAAAACATATCTAAAGGTATAACCCATTGAACTTTGAAGCAGAGGCTCTATAGTAGCAGAGAATCACACCAAAAACTACTACTTCCTGCTAAAACCATAAGGATACAATTCACACACTGTCACCAAAGCTGGATATTACCCTTTCCTGGTCTTCTGTGTCAGCTGCAGCCTTTATATGCAGGGGTCAGAATTATAAAACATGAATACATGAATACATCCTGCCGTGTGATTGATTTAGCCAAGTATTGAGCCTGGACATGTCCACATTTTTATGTAAATCTTTTGGTACCTATTTGTTAGGCTCAAGTACCGGTAATGTTCAACTGGTTTCCTGGAGATGGCATTGAGTTCCCTGTGCAACAGTGTCCTCCACAGTAACCAGATCTTAATCTGATAGCGCCTTTGGGATTCACTAAAACATGAAATTCAAGCCATTGATGTGCAGCTGATAAATCTGAAGCAACTGCATGATGGTTACATGAAAATTGGAACAAAATTGTTTCTGGGGAATATTAAAAAACAGCAGGATGAGTTTATGTGACAAAGATCTAAACCATGCCTTTACACTTTTAAGTTTCCTCTGACAAACTAGAAACATTGTCATCAGTTCTCATTTTAGTGGAAGATGAACACAACATACCAAGTGAACCGTCATATCTTATTTTAGAAGGCAAACAGGAAAAGCTTCAAAGTCAACTACCCATGTACATAAACTCTTTTCTTTTCTCTCTCTATATCTTTGTGAGGATTCAAGGCTTTTGCAGCGATTCACTTTGCTCCCACTGGCATGACTCTGCCTGACATTAAACAGCGAATGACGTGATTATTGGAGTTTAAAATATAAAAATCTTGTGTTCTGCAAGCGAGCGCTCTCCCTGCGCATTGTCAGACCCTGAGTGTATGTGCGTAGACAGAAATAGACAGCCACCCACATATCATTAGGGAGATGCAGGGAGAGAGAGGAGGAGAGACGGACTGTGACAGCGTAGGAGAGTGAAGCGGGATGAATAAAAAATATGGTGGTCACAGCTTGACACCTTGTTTTTTTTTTTTTTTTTGCTGCATTCAGATGTAGGTAAAATATCTCTGAGTTAGCTGTTGGAGTTTGCTCCTACTTGATGGGTTTTCTTTGGAGGCAGCTTTTTATTTCCACAGAGAAACTTATCTGATCATCTAAATTAAGATTTGAAGTGTGTGGGAGGGGTGTAGGCTATTTCACTACATGTGTGCTTTAATGGACTTAATGATGTGGAAGGAGTCCGCCCTCTTGTGGAGTGCTGAGAAAAAACTCTGACTTTGCTCTGCATTACAGGACGCTCTTCAGCGTCCATCCTCTTACCTAACACATCCATGATTCATTGTGTAGGCTAAAACATTAGTTAGATCTAAATCCCAACAGTAAATCATGGAAATCATCAACTCTGCCTGATATCTGTGTTTAAAAGTATATCCTAACACTGCCAGATACTTTTTTTTTTTAAAGAGCAAAATTTTCACTCTAATTTTCATTTTAATTTCCTTTTTATCTCCAGGAAGCTGCTAAATGTGAAGATCATTGATGATGAGGAATATGAGAAGAACAAGACATTTACGATTGTTTTGGAAGAACCGATCCTGCTGGAGGTTGGACAGAGACATGGTGAGAGAAGGAGTGTTTTTGGCTGCTGCAGAGTGCTAGTCTGCAACATTTCCATCAGCATGTCAATACATTTCACTTAAATATTCCGATACCAAATTTCCACCTTCAGATCATTTCTTATAACTGTGGGCTATTCCTCATCGAAAAGCCCTTGCACAAGTATTTATATCACACAAACTTTTCAACATTTTGTCTTATTCCAGCCAGAAACTTTAATGAATCTTACTTGAACTTGTGTGACCAACCAACTGTAAAGTGAAAGGAAAATTTTATGGGGTTTTATTTTTATTTTTTTTACAGAAAAAGGGAAAAGTGGGACTAAAAACAGTAGAATGACATTTTGCTTCAGAAAGACATGTAATATTTTTAAAGTTCATCTTTACCAACTTTTTACGTTTTTAAACAGAAATGGGAAGTCATCAACCTTGAAATCTAACTACAAATTCTCTCTAAGATTATACTCATGTTTAGAGAAGAACTTTGACTAGGCCGTTCAAACACAGAAAGGTACTTTCATCAAACATAGAGGTCATTGTTGCTTTAACTGTTTTTCTAGGGTTGTTGTTCTCCTAGAAGGTGACTCTCCAGTCTTTTGTAGTACCTACCACATTATCATCCTGGATTGCCCTTTAATTAGCTTAATCTGTCTTCAAATTAAATCTGAGCAGCATCCTTGTTTCTGCAGAAGAAGTCAGCCCTTACACCTTTTCAATTCTATCTCAATCTTTGATGGTCAAGATGGTATATCCAGATGGTTTGTTGCTTTGTTTCTTTGCAGCACTTAACATTTTGCATATAGGGGCTGGAGGTCTTGTGGCTTTCTCTCACCAAGCAACTCTTCAATTAAGAATAGATTTTAAAATGTAGCATGAAAAGTTTTCCTGCCCACAGAATCTCCTACTTTAGAATTGGATCTCTGCAGCTCCTCCAGAGTTTCCTATATGCTTTGTTGGTGCTTCTATGAATTAAAACTCTTCTTGCCCCGCCTGATAGTTTAGGTGGACCATTAAGTATTGGTAAATTTGTGGTTGTGTCATCTATCACAACTTCTCAAAAATCTTATGAATACCTGTCTAAACTACCAGAGACTAAGAGATTACTTTATGGTAGCATCCAGCTGTGTTTGTTAAAATGCAGTTATTCTCTTCATGATACATCATTTAGAACATGTTAAACTTCTGCATCTGTTACACTGTGCAGGGGACACAAATGATAATAAAACGGCAGTGGGACCAGAGGACGTGTCAAAGATGGGCTGCCCCATTCTAGGAGAGCACACTAAGCTGGAGGTGATCATCGAGGAATCGTACGAGTTCAAGGTAACTTAAAACAAGCATTGTTCAACCACTATCTCATAAAACAAGATTTCCTATTTAAATTCTGAACTGGCTGATAAACAACACAGCTGACAGCCCTTACAAAAGCACTTATTAATTCAATTTATTTAAAGCCAGAAGTTTCTAAGAAGAAATCTACAGACACAGTCGGAGATCCTAAACAACATAAAAGTTAAAGCCTCCGACTGTTATCACAGTTTCCATCAAGTTACCATATTTTCTCTTTGACAGCAATGATAAATATTTAAACTCAACCACAGATCTGTGATGAATTATGAAGCATTTTCGTGCTGCTAACTAGTTCCCCTGCCTGCATATTTACTCATTTAAACCATGAACCTTTAAACAAGCTGGAAAGAGAAAATCTGATCGGATAATACAAAATCCTTAACTGTTGTGTATATAAGATGATGGCATGAGGATGCTGCTTAGGTTGCCCCGATGGTGTAGTGCCAGTCCGATGTTTGTTTATGTCAATGTACCAACCTGCGCTGCTGTGCTTCGAAACATTATGTGCAGATGTATGTGTAGATTAACAGACTCTGTAAACAGCATCATTCAGACTCTGACCAATCCTGTTCAAAGCTCAGTGAGATTCTTCTCCAGTTTGTGGAATCATTGGCGCTTTAGTTTATATGTCAGTGATTGATTATTTTATATATATATTTTTATATTTTTCTGTTTTTATTATTGTTCTTGTTTTTGTCTGTTTATGGACCATAATTGTGTCTAAATAAAGAGATTGATTGATTGATTGATTGATTGATTGATTGATTGATTGATTGATTGATTGATTGATTGATTCATTGATTCATTGATTGATTGATTGAATATGGAATTTGATGCAGAAATGTGAAGATGGGATTTTACAACTTAAGCTAAAAAAAAAAAAAAGCTATTGCACAGAATGCAGATACGGCATGATCAGGTGGACAATCTATATCTGCAGCTTCTGGTATTCTGTGCACCCTGTTAATTCAACCTGGGACCCCCCTGATTACATCACCATGACATCAGCCCCATTTTTACTAACGTTACAGCCCCAGGACACATTGTGTTCACAGGTTTGTATTGCAGAGTAAACTGATACCATAACGTAAATTGGCTGTTGTTCTTATTGAAGAATATTTAAGTGCATTTAAGCTGCTACATGATACAGCGCTGAGACTCCCAGCACAGCTCTCAGGCTCTGTTTTCTGTGGGCCTGCTTCATCCTGGCATAAAGCCCAGATGATCCTAAATCTGGTTCTGTGACTCACAGTGCACCACAGTGGAAGGAGGGATGCTGGTAACTGTACCCTCGGTGCCCTCATCAGTGTCCCCTGTGTCACTAATTGCTAAGCTTATGCTGATAATGTGAGTCTTCTACCTGTAAAAGCTGCTCTCTCTGTCTGCATGGTCGTCTCCAGAGCACAGTGGACAAGCTCATCAAGAAGACCAACCTGGCCCTGGTGGTGGGGAGCAGCAGCTGGAGGGAGCAGTTTGTCAGTGCTGTAACTGTCAGCGCAGGTGAGCGGCTCAGTCCTGAAACCTAACATCTGTGCCTCTCAGTGAGGAGCAGCCCTGTACATGGAGAAACATGTGGTCTGGATCGGGTTCACCAGCTGCCTCCTGTGCTTTTTGTTTTTTATCGTGACATTTCTTCAATTAAAATCCCAAACATTTCAGTTTAACGTTTGAATGCCCTTTGGCGAATCTCTGTTTATCTGATACAGCTTATTAAAAATGCATTATTCACTGAATTCCTTATGAGTCCCACCATTAAAGCTGCTCTGGCAATGGCCAACACCGCCCGGACAATTTATGTGACTCTTAGTAAGAAGCTCTTTCGAAAGCCATTTGTTGAGCTTTGTAACTCTTAAATGTTCTCAAACAAAAGCACCGTGACAACAAAGGGAATCACACCATGCAGAGGTCCTGTTTTTACTTTTTTAGTTATTTACCCATATTAGATAAGTGTAGAACTAGAAAAATTAGAGGTAGCTGTTCCTGCTTTTTACTGCTGTTTATTATCGAAACGCATTTCTTATTTTTATCAATATTTTTATTATTATAAGCATTTATTACTGCAGTTGGCTTAAGAAGCCCCTAAATATCAGAATAATAAGTTGGCGACTAAAGTTAGATCCTTAAAAAAAGCAACAACAAACAAACAAAAGGAAATCAGATCAAAAAACAATTTCAAATTGACATAGAAATCAAAATTAAAATTATAATTAGCTAGATTACTGTCAAAAATTCACCTCAAACAGTCATAGATGTATACTACTACTGTTTGTTAATGCACAGTAGTAGGTTTTGCTGTTCAAACTGCTCTGGCTACGCCCCAGCGAGAGATAAAAAGGCTCTCCATTATGCCTAATCAGCTAGTTGTGTGCCGCCCATTTCTAATGTCGCCCTGGGCAAATAACCATTTTGACATCATAATCCAAATTTATGGCTCAAATTGAAGGCATACCAAGATCAAATAAACAGGAATTTATCTAATGGTTCAGTTTATGTCCAAATAAGCCTGATTTTGCTCATTTGGATACTAAAACAACCATTACAGTGGATGTATATTTAATTAGGATCTATTTTGCATTAAAAAAACAACAAAAATTGCTTTTGATAACTTTGAATTTCGATAGTAAAGGGAGAAATATTCACATGTCCTCTGGAATTTCTACTTTAACAACAAATCCAAGTCCTGGACTCCCACACTAACTCTCTATTGATACCTTTGTGGTTGGAGATAGTCTTGTGAAAAATAGCAAAAACAAATGAGAAAATGGATTAAAAGAAAAAAACAGTAAGGATTTCCACAGAACACCCTTAAGAAATAGAAAATGCAAAGGCAAGTAGATTGTTAACTTTGATCACTGACACTGTATAGAATAGAACTGGAGCATTTACTGCATATTCACATTATTCTAAAGGACAGTCAGTGATAATAAATACAACAACAAAGCATTTTGACAGAGAGAAAGGACCGGTTATAACGAATGATTTTACCTTAAGTTGGTAAACAATTCTAGAAATTGGAATCATAGTTACTATATTAGTTAACTTATTTTTTTTTTTAAGATAATCCCTTTAAACATAAGAGCTAGAGAGGGGAGTAAATAAAAGAAGCAACACTCTCATGATCAAGATTCATTTTGAGTAACTCTTAAATGCAACATCATGCAAAAAAAAAAAAAAAAAGTAATGTTGAATTAAAATGAAATTAAATGCTGGATAAAACAATACACAAAACTGAGGTGATGAAACTGTTCCCAGAGAGAGATTTATGAGAACAGAGAGAATGATGACATTTAAAACAGAGGAAAAATAGATGAGAGGTTAAGGATGGAGGAAAAAGATTATTTAAAATGTCTATCAGGACGTTAATGTCAGATAGAAGCTAAATACATTAGCACTTTACTGACATCTAGATTTGTTCCTATATAGTTCATTGACTTCAATGACACCAACGGTAATGCTTACCGTAGATTCTGTGAAGGGGGGTTAGTGCACTTAACAGACATTTTGCTTTAGTGTTTCAAAGATTTCCTTTATATTTTTGGAACTTTTTCTAAGCTTAAATTTCTTGTGAAGCTACTTTAATTGACTACTTTGTAGTGCAAATTGGAGCATTCCGCAAATAAATCATTAGATGTAAAGATTGTTGACATTGCTGGCTGAACATAGAAAAACATGCATGCAGGTAAAATATGGACTAATAATGAACAGTGCTGTAACTACTATTAATACTTTTAATCACATTATTTAACATGATGATTCAACCCTCTCCAAAACCCTCCTGTTTGTACCTCTTCAAAATAAAATGGGGTTTTCACCCCTGGCAGAGAGAAATAAATGATTTTTGTCACATTCTAACTGTAATTACTGTGAACTCTTACTTGTTTTGTTCTCAACGTACAATGGTTTTAAAAAAGGATAGTGACTAACATCTTGCAGCATCTATTTGTTTGTGTGAACGACGAGTTGGTTTAATTGCTGAGGCTCAATGTCTCCTAATCACTTACTTCCTGCTACCCACCGATGACTAATAGTTCCAGTAAGGTCCAAATGCTACTTTAATTTGACATTAGGGGTGGGTATTGCCAAAGAATTCAGGATTCGATTCCAATCATGATTCACATGCCACGATGCGATTCTATCACGATGCATCACGATCCGTGAAATATTGCGATGCATCGCAATATTTTCACTGAACACAGTAAGAAAAAAATACAGCTATTACCAGCGGCTTTGTATCCTCTGGATAGTGTCTTCAATTGATACATAACTGAACGCAACTTAATTCATACATAGCTGTATTTATTGAAACAACTTTTGAAGGTATTGCCATGAAAACAAATACTGGACACAAATATTACTGTTACTGGAGTGGACACACTGACAAAAAGTGCTTAGGATTTATAAAACTTAAAATGACAGTGCCGTTTGCATGGTCTCACTGGTCCTTTACACCAATGAAATGGAAACATTCAAATGTTTGACATTTCCCCTTTCGCAAATTAAGTGTGTCAAATCAATTTCGTTTTTAAATTCTTTGTTTTTTAAAGCCAAAATGCATCCAAACATCTGATTCGGAATGTGATGGAGCTGGGCAAATTTTTTCAGTCTCCATGTTTTGTTTATGAATGACTCGTCGCAGTATCCGCAGCGACGTCTACTGGACTCAAAGTTGTATTCCACTTTTTTTTGGCTGATGTGTGCCAACCATTCCTGTATTTTATTTATTTCTTTTTGTAAGCATACAATTAATTGCCACCAAAAATACAATTAACAAATAAATGTAAGTAGAAATTAAATTATACAGTGAGACATAAATGTATATAACTCTTTTAATTAGCTTCTTTATTTATTTGCCTTTGTAATTTTTACCTTATTTATTTTTTTGTCTTTTATACTCTTCAAATTAATTTTTTAATTACTTGTATTTTTAAGGATTTATTTATGTGCATGTTATAATATTTTTGTCTGGTTTATTCTCCCTTTGTATTTTTTACCCTAGTTATTTCTTCGCCGTTATTTATTTCTGCCTGCCCTTTTTACATTTCTGTATGCATTTCTGCCTCATTAGGCAAATGAGGAGGGGGTGTGTCCTAGAGAGTCAACTTCTGCTCTTTGGCCGATCTCGAATATCTATAAATAAAGGTGTTGATGGGAGCAGCACAGCTGATATTTCTCTCCAGGATGGAGTCACAGCCAAACAGGAACAGAGCAGATAAAACTACTATGAGAAAATCAGAGAGAGCATAATTTTAAAGATTAAACTATTTCTGCAGTGGGAGGATAGAAATAGAATTAAGCAGAATGTTGAAAAAGGGGTCCCTATGTCCTCCAGCAGTCTAAGCCTATAGCAGCATAACTATAGAGATAGCTCAGAATAACCTGAGCCACTCTAACTATAAGGTTTATCAAAAAGGAAAGTTTTAAGCCTAGTCTTAAAAGTAGACAGGATGTCTTAATCACAGACTTAAACTGTTAGTTGGTTCCACAGAAGAGGAGCCCGATAACTTAAAGATCTGCCTCCCATTTTACTTCTAGAAATTCTAGGAACCACTAGTAAACCTGCAGATTGAGAGCAAAGTGCTCTGTTAGGAACATAAGGAACTATCATATATCTGATATAAGATGGAGCTTGGCCATTTAAGGCTTTAAATGTGAGGAGGAGGATTTTAAATTCTATTCTGGATTTAACAGGAAGCCAGTGAAGAGAAGCTAGGATAGGAGAGATATGATCTCTCTTTTTAATTTTCATCAGAACTCTGGCTGCAGCATTTTGGATCAGCTGAAGGCTTTTAACTACAGTTTGTGGACTTCCTGATAGTAAAGAATTACAATAGTCCAGCCTTGAAGTAACAAATGCATTGACTAGTTTCTCAACATCACCTCTGGACAGGATATTTCTAATTTTTTTCAATATTCCACAGATGTAAGAAGGAAATTCTATAAAGCTCTTTCATATGGGATTTAAATGACAGGTCCTGAACGAAAATAACACCAAGATTTTTTACTTTGTTATCTGAGATCAATTTAATGTCATCCAAAAGAAGTGACTGACAAATCAGCTTATTTTTTAAGGACTCTGGTCCAAAGACGATAACTTCTGCTTTGTCTGCTTTCAGGAGCACAAAGTTGAGAGTAATCCAGGTTTTTATGTCTTCGAGACATGCCTGTAATCTATGTAACGGGTTAACTTCATCTGGATTTATAGACACATGCAGCTGAATATCGTCAGCATAACAGTGGATATTAATCCTATGCTGTCTAATAATTCTACCATTTGGGAGCATTTATATAGTAAAGAGAATTGGTTCTAGCACTGATCCCTGTGGTACTCCACAGGTAACCTTTGAGCAAGGTAAAGATTTGTCATTAATGTGAACAAAGTGAAATCGATCAGATAGATACGATTTAAACCAGTCTAGTGCTGTTCCTTTAATTCCTATAAAATATTCAAGTCTTTGTAAAAGAATATTATGATCAACTGGATCTAATGCAGCACTGAGGTCTTAGGACAAGTATAGATACAAGTCCATTATCTAAGGCCATGGGAATATCATTAGTGACTTTCACCAGAGCTGTTTCAGTGCTATGATGAGCTCTAAAGCCAGACTGAAACTCTTCAAAAAGTTCATTATGGTGTAAGTGCTCACACAGTTGTTTGGAAACTACTTTCACAAGAATTTTAGATAAGAATGGAAAATTGCATCCCAAACTTTACCTGTTAATTAGAAACTTCGTAACCGAGGCATCAGTGGAAACCCGACCTGTGTTTTCAGTGTATTCCATCACGTCAAAGAATCTCCCACAAAAACTCTTCTTCTCATACACTTCGTAGACAATTTTTCTCTTATGACCCTCAACCATTTTCAAAGAACCGCGGTGAGAAAGGCGAGCAGCAATGACTGGCTGAAACTGTAGCTCACCACAAATGTACGCCTGAATGTGCGCATGTACAGAAAAAATAGCTCCCTATGGGGACGAGCACGTAGGACTGCCTTAAATAAAAATATCAGCAGAATGATTGACAATTAGGAGGACCACTTATTTTGATGATCAGCCCAGAAAAAGAAAATCCACAAACTGCACCTTTGATTTGTGTGCAGTTATTGAATAGAAAAATCCCTTTATTGGCCCACAATGGGGAAATTCTGCACACAAGTAACATTATCCTGTATTAAAAATGAAAAAAAGTAGTTAAGCTATTGTAAAGTTTATTTACTTGGTATGGACATTATTACAGAGACCCTCCTTAATGTAATTTATTCTTCTTAGGCCTGAACTGGTTATGAAGATCTGCATTCTCAGTTTTAATGCCAAACACTCATTAGATGGTGCAGCAGAGAGTTTTTTTATACATAACATTGTCAGTCTGCTATTTCCATCTAAATTGTGTTTTTCTTGTTAGGAAATATCTACCTGCTTGCTAGCTTAAACCTATGTCTATAAGGTATTAAAAAGACTAGATCAATGAAAGTAAAAAAATGTTTTGTGCCATCATTGGCTTTTTGTTTATCTCTTTTTATTAGGTGATGATGATGAAGAGGAGAGTGGGGAAGAACGATTGCCCTCCTGCTTCGATTACATCATGCACTTCCTGACAGTTTTCTGGAAAGTTCTCTTTGCGTTTGTCCCTCCAACTGAGTACTGGAACGGCTGGGCCTGCTTCTTTGTCTCCATTTCTCTTATCGGCGTTCTGACAGCTGTGACGGGCGATCTGGCCTCACATTTCGGATGCACCGTTGGTCTGAAAGACTCGGTCACCGCTGTGGTGTTTGTTGCTCTTGGCACCTCTGTTCCAGGTGGGTGTCAGTGCTGACAATCGTCTCACACCAAAGAGCTGCTGTTTATTCTCTCAGGGGTTTTTTTTGCCTGTGGTGTAGAAACAGGTGCTTGAGGAGACTTATATAACCTCAACTCCTTTTGAGCTGTCAGAGGAATTACCTCCAAAGCTCTTGCTTAGCACCCTAACAAGCTGTAAACAAAGGAAAGCACAGTTCCACTTGTACGGTCAGCTTGTATAACCAACTTACAATTTCCTAAATCTTTGAAGCACAAAAGCGTCTAAATGAAGTTTTGATAGGCTTTTTATGGTGACTCTGCTTTTTGTCCTCAGCTTTGAAGATGAATGCAAAATAAAATAAGTTGACAATTTTAAATAATTCTGAACAAAGCTGATATCTTTAACATTTGCTGTAATACTGTATAGTCTTAGAAGCAATATTACAGCATTCCCAAATGTCATTAAACAAAGCCCTGTAAGAATCCAGGTTAATCCTAATCTATAAATTACAAGGATTGCCCTAAAATTAACCCTGGTATAAGTAATATATGGTGTACTTTTGATAACATTTCCCAATGGAAGTAGAGAGAGATAAGAGAGAATCTCCCTCCATTAAGCTAAAGCTACATCAAATAACTTCTGAAATGGGAAAACATCCATTAAATACATATTAAAACATTAAAGACTAATATAATCCTCATTTGGAGAAATGTCTATTTAGCCTACAGGTTTCTCTTTAATACATTCCCCATGTACAATTTGTTTCATTAAGTTTTTTGTAATCTTGCCATCAGATAAGGCAACGCAAGACAACTTTATTTATAAAGTATAACACATTTCAGTTGCAAGACAGTTCAAAGTTCCAATGCAAATAGCTAGCTGCTATTAATCTGACAAAAAGTGCAGTCAACCAGCAGAAAGCAGATACTTTGTCTTTTGTTATAGCCTTATTAGTAATTAGACAGTTTAAAGTTGCACATTAAAGCAACAACAACAACACCTCAGCCATTTCCAGAAGACAAGTCTTAGATAAAATAATACAAATTAACCACAAGATGTGTTCTGGTAAAGCCATCTCAATAGATGAGATGATGCACATTACAGTGTTTAAAAGAATTAGATAAGATCACCAATGAATATGTGGTATAACCCTGTCTGTTGGATTTATGTGATTAATTAAGTGTACAATGCAACGTGACCCAACTTTAAAAAGTGAGACCAAACAAAAACAGTGAGGACTCTATGCTGTCACTCAGCACTGCTCTATAGGAACATTAAGTTTTTTTTTTTTTATCTAGCTACAGATGAACTGAATCAAACCGCTATAGAGTACATAGCTCCCTCTGGACTTAAATAAATTACTCACTTGTCAAGGTGGATGTAAACAACACTTTAACTGGAGAAAAATCCACTCCTATTTAAATGGCTGCTTAACATATTTATACATATCCTCACTGCTCATGGACGAGAGGCAGGGTACACCCCAGGTTGCAGTCCATCACAACAGAATATACGATCCTCCCTTAGTCACTATTTTTTTCTAAAAAAAACATTTCAAGTTTCTTGGAAAAGTGCTTGACATTTTCAACTAAAAATGATCAGTTGGACCCTACAGATTAATAATAGGATTTAATCAAAGTTCATGTACATGAAAAGTAGATATTTTGGCTTTTTAGTCTTTGTGTTGTCATCTCAATATTAGTTTACCTTGACAAACAGCAGCTAATCTCAAAGTACTTAAGAGAGTAAATCTAATCAAATCTTCCAGACATATTAATTAAGACATGTATGCATGTAAGGAACCCAGAAAATGTCTTTGAGTCATTGATTTGCAGAACTCACTAGTCCTGAATAAATGTGTTACAGCATTCTGCCATCAGCAGCAATTCCTCATGCCAAGCAAGAAACAGCCTTAGTGTGGACAACCTTCTGTCACAACAGTCCGGAGGTTTAAGCATATAGAGTGTATACAAAAGACATGTTCTCCTCCACGATGGGGTCATAACTGAACAAAAACCTAGAAAAATGTTGTGCCTTTGAAGAGGCAACAAGGCAATGATAGCAATGGAAGCAACATTGCCTTGGAATGAATGAATGAATGAAGGAAGGAAGGAAGCAAGGAAGGAAGGAAGGAAGGAAGGAAGGAAGGAAGGAAGGAAGGAAGG